AAAAAAAAAAAAAAAAAAAGGAGTTCTCTGAAGAAGTTACAGAGCGAAAGAATAGAAAACCTAACTAATCGCTAACTTTGACTCTCATTTGAAAATTGCTCTAAAAGCTGCGGGCAGTGAACCTGAAAAAGAAAGGGTAGCATTCCAGATAAACTCTGGAAACAAGTCATCTAGTGTTAAATAGCATTTGAAACTATGACTTTTACTGGGTAATTTTTTTTTAAGTTTATCAGTTGGCATTGTCATCCATACAGTTAATATTTTGAAGTAAAAACGATAGGACCTTGATAATTTTTGTTTACACTTCATTTTCATGTGGCGAAAGTACGCAACCTCTTCAAAGTACTCAAATATTTGCACTGCAGGAGATGAATGAAAATGACACTTTTCCAAATTTCAGGCTTTTGCATTTCGCAAACTACACAATATTCTATATTAAAGTTCACATGGCAACCAGGTGGACAATCAGACATGGTTTGATGCTAAATGAATGTGGGGGCTAAGTTTCTAAAGAAACTGTGCTGCTGCGTCGGTGGGAGATTATAGCAGGTAATTTGGTGTAAACAACTGAGTTGCAGAAGCAAATTCGCCACCGTGAAGAGTGAAAAAAAATGACGTTTCGAGCATTAGCCCTTCGTCAGAGCGATTGGAGGAGTTGCGGGTTGTGTGTGAGTTTATATGAGAAAGTGGAGCTCTGCTGTTGGTGGGAGTATGGTGACGAGAAAACAAGAATAAGTTAGTTGAATGAAAAGCGCTCGTTTATACCGTGGGGATTAAGAGTGCCGATTCGGAAGATTAATTTTTGTTCTAGTGTTTCGCGGCTTTCGGAATTGCTTCTTCCATATGCTGTTGAGAATGACTTGGAAAAACGCAAAGACATAGTCATTAAAGCGGCCGACAAAAGCGGCGCGGTTGTTGTTTGGCGGGCCGATCTTTGTCAAAAAGAAGCTTTGCGGCAACTTTCTGGCACCTCCTTTTATGCTAAAGTAGACAAAGATCTCACTTTAATAACCAAAACATTGTCAAAATGTGATTAATCATCTCACAGCTAAACAAGAATTGCCGGCCACTGCTAAAAATCTCGCCATCACCACTCCAAGAGCTTCGTCTAATTACTTTTTATCTAAAATCCACAAACCTAACAACCCAAGTCGACCCATCGTTTCCGCCTGCAGTTGTCCCACCGAACTTATTTCCAGCTATTTCGACAAAACTATGACACCTATCGTCAAAACTTTACCATCTTACATTAAGGACAGCCTACACGCACTTGAAATTATTCCGTGACTTTAATTTTCTTGACCAAAACAAACTTATTTTCACAATGGATATTAAATCTCTTTATACTGTCATTCCCAACGATGAAGGTCTCCTGGCCCTCAAACATTTTTTCGATCATCGCACTGTTGAGGAACCTAGCTCTGAAACACTACTCCGTTTGACCGAACTAGTACTTACACTCAATTGCTTTTCATTCGGTGGTAACTACTACAAACAAACTAATGGCGTGGCCATGGGTATTAAAATGGGACCCAGCTACGCAAATCTTTTCGTTGGTTTTATCGAACATTAGTATTTTAGTCAATACCACGGCCCCAAACCTGAACTCAACGGCCGTTACATTGACGACTGCATCGGCGCTACCTCCTCTACCCGAGAGGAGCTCACTCAATGTATAACCGCCATCAATTCCTTTCACCCGGCTCTTAAATATACCTGGGAAATTTCCGACTCTTCTTTGGCTTTTCTAGACATCAAGATTTCAATTGAAGGCAACGGTTTAAGAACAAGTGTTTTACTACAAACCTACAGTTTTCGGCCTTTCCTAACATCTAGTCAGTTCGGAAAGCCGCAAAACACTAGAAAAAAATTTATCTTCCAAATCGGCACTTAATTCCCACGGTATCAACGAGTGCTTTTCATTCAACTAATTTTTCTCGTTTTCTCGTCACCATACTCCCACCAATAGCGTAGCTCCACTTTCTGCATAGAAACCCACACACAACCCACACTTCATCCAATCGCTCTGACGAAGGGCTAACGCTCGAAATGTCAGCTTTTTTTACTCTTCACGGTGGTCAGTTTACGTTTTCAACTCAGTTGTTAACACTGTTAAAACATGTTTTTTGTCTTTTCTCGTGACAAGACGAAAGAAATAGAGAAAGATCTTTCTTTATTTCTGTGCCAAGCTCAAAACTTACCATCTCTCTCATTCTATTTACAAATAGGACGCTATCGACATTGGTGATCTTAGCAGTATGTGAGACGCGTGTCTTACGAACTTCGTAATAGACCTCGCTCACCATAGTCTTTGTGGCTCAATGGTAGAGCATCGATGCTCTGAGGTTCGATTCCTTGTG